TCAAATGCTCCATCCGTACAATAGCACGTATGAAGATTTCATTTCTCTTCCTGTTTGAGTGTGGGCCTCGCTGTGTTGTGTCCACCTTTGGCTGCCGTGAACCATGCTGCCATGAACATTGGTGTCCAAGTCCCTTCTGGGCTCTGCGTTCAAGTCTTCTGAGTGTGTAGCTAGGAGTGAATTGCTAGGTGAATTCCTACTTTCAGTTGTTCCGGTGAACTGCCATGTTATTCCCAAAGCCACTCAGTGGTGGTCCCACCAGCAGCGGAGAAGGGCTTTAATTTCCCGCATCCGTACAACCTTTGTCATGTTCTGTTTGTTTGATTTTGCCTTTTCATCGGAGCCACCCTAGTGGAAGTATGGTCTCTGATTGTAGTTTTGAGTTACATTTCTCTGCTGGCCAGTGATCCCAAGCATCTTTTCATGTGCCCGGTGGCCATTCGGATGGTCTTTTTGGTGACGCATCTACCCAAGTCCTTTGCCCATTTTATTACTAATGTATTTGTCTTTCTGTTGTTAGTTTATACATATTTTCACATGTACTTTGGCTTTTTTTTAATAGTGTAACTGGTTGTTTGTTTTTTTAAATCATTTTATTGAGGGCTCCTACAGCTACTACAATCCATACATCCAGCCATTGTGTCAAGCACATTTGTACATAGGTTGCCATCATCATTCTCAAAACATTTTCTTTCTGTTTGAGCCCTTAGTATCAGCTTCTCATTTTTCCCTCCCTCCCCCACCTTCTCTCCCTCATGAACCCTTGATAATTTATAAATTTTTTTTATCATGTCTTACACTGACCACTTACACTCACCCACATTTCTGTTGTCCGTCCCCCTGGGAGGGGGTTATAGATTGTAGAGCATTGTGATCGGTTCCCCCTTTTCTCCTCCCATCTTCCCCTTCCCCTCCTGGGATCGCTCCTCTCATTATCGGTCCTGAGGGGTTTATCTGTCCTTCATTCCCTGTGTTTCCAGCTCTTATCCGTACCTGTGTACATGCTCTGGTCTAGCTGGATTTGTAAGGTCGAATTGGTGTCATGATAGTGGGGGGAAGGAGGTGAAGCATTCCCCCCCTCATATACTTTAGCTTTATAAAATAAAGTTTTACATAATTTGGTTATTAGATTCTTGTCAGATAGACAGTTTCCAAGGATAGGCTCTCAAATAGTAACTTGGCCTTTACTTTTTTTGGAGTAAAGCATTTTGATGAACAAATGTTTTCATTTTTATGAAGTCTCATTTGTTATTTTGTTTTCATATTCATGATTGTTCAATAATCCATTGTTGAAAGTGGGGCCTGACAGTGTTGCTTGTGCTTCTAAAACCTTTATGGTTTTAATTTGCACATATAAGTTCTTAATTCATTTTGAATTTGTTTATGTGTATGGTGTAAGGCATGGGTCCTGATTCATAGTCCTGCATGTGGAAATCCAATTCTCCTGGTACCCATTTATTGAAAAGACTTTTTTTTCCCCCATTGAGTGGACTTAGCACCCTTGTCAAAAATTGGTTGACCATAGATGTGTGGATTTATTTTGGGATACTCAATTCTGTTGCAAACGGTTTTTTGCCTATTGTTATAAAAGTACCAGGCTGTTTTGATTAATGTAGTTGTATAGTTTGGTTTGTTTTTTAATGTCACTGTGAATTGTGTGAATGTGTACTACTGAGCCGATCAGTTTTCCATTCAACAATCCATACATTCTTGTCTAGTCTTGTTGATCACAATCCTCCCCACAATGTAGCATCTTTTATTCCACTTCATCCTCATGTTTCCTTTGATGTTCATCTCAAAGTGTTGGTTTTTCTAAGGTGTGTGTACCTTCCTAGTATGACTGTTCTCCTTACAAACCTATTGCTTGTGTGCGGCCCCGGCTTGTGAGTGGATGCCACCTGCTAGAGGCCCTGTGGGACAGGGTAGAATGGCCTCATTTGGGTTTCGGAGGCTATAAATCTTCAGGGGAAGAGAAAACCTCATCTTTTCCTCTCAGAGTGGCTGGTGGGTTTGAATCCCAACCTGGGACCCACTACCTCATTTTGTATAACAATTTTGAATCACCTAGGGAGGAATTCTGGTGGCGTAGCAGGTTATTTATTGAGCTGCTAACCACAGTCATTGGTTCGAATCTACCCATCGCTCTGCAGGAGAAAGACGAGGCTTTCTGCTCCCTTAACAGTTGAAAATCTCAGAATGCAAAGGGGAAGTTCTGCTTTGCTCAATAAGGTCAATGTGAATCGAAACCGTGAGTTTAAGTTTGCTTGCTTGTTTGTTTGAACCATAGATTCATATTTCTATTAGATTGGAGAAGTGGTCCTCAGGTTCGGCTATAAATAAAAATCACCTGTGCATCTTCTAAAGGACTCAGCATTGGGCATCTGTCCCTAGAGATTCTGATTTACTTGGTCTTGTGGGACCAGACACTGGTCCTGCTCAGTCGGCCCCCCAGCATGTTCCACTACTTTAAAAACACTGAAGAGTTGGCTGTTTGCTGTGCCTGATGTTCCTCCTCTGCGTGCCCTGTTTCCTTTGCTTTTCCTCTTAGTGAGGAGCTGGTGGGAGAGAAGCCCTGACGGTGCCAAAAGGGAAAGGTGGTGAGGGTGGAAAGGAAGGGACTCGTTAGCCAACTGTTCTTGTGCACCACTGTCGTTCGGGATTGTAGCGGCCTGTGATTCTCTGCCTCTTGCTTCTGGATATTTGTTTTAACTTGTGGGGAAAGGACATCAGATTAAGATGAGTAAAAAGGAGGGGGCGTCCTCCTTTTCCAGTCTTTTTGAGCCCTTTTTGAGCCCACAAGGAATGTAACCACAGCAGCACATCTCATGCCCTGGATACTACAGGCCATAGGAAAACTATCCGAGGAGATGTTCTTCTCTTTAATGGACTTATGACTCCAGGCACAGACTAGAGACCCAGCTCGGTTCAACTTGGAGACATATGGGTTTTTTTTCCAGCCCACAATTTTTTAAAATATGAAATGAGAATGTCTTTATGTTGGACATTGTCTCTCTCCGGTTCATCCTTAGGCCACATGGTCCTGAAAGCCCACTTGCTTCTCCTTATTTTTAAGTCTACCCCCCTGACCAATAAGGGAATGTGAATACTGCTGTCTGGAGAGGCACTAGGTTCTGGTGAGAAAAACGTTCATCTACTTCATCTGCATCCCGTTTCCAACTAAACGCCAAGGTTTTCTTCTCCGTTGCTCTTTGTTAGCTGTAATTTAGAGGCGAGTCATCATAGTAGTCATACCGAGAACAAAGCTTCCCACACCCATAGCCAATGGGAAGGAGCTTTATTCATAGCCAACTGCTTTGATTGGATAAAAACTTTATCCAATCACTGTAGAAGACAGTGACTGCTTTTGTTCACCGCCACGAAATCTGCTTCCTCTGAATGAGTGGGAGGGGATTCATACTCATTAGATCCGAGTACACCGTCCGATGGAGTTTCTGCCCCATGTTTTACCCCTCCCGGGTTTCGGAGTCAAGTACCTACTGGGAGGACAGGGCAAAGGCTACAGCTTTTCCTTATTTAGTCAGGCCTGAGCGACCGATTTTCTCTTTCTCATTCCACAATGCTGCGATTGGACGAGAACATGGGTGTATTGTCTGAAAGGAAAAGACGAGGAAGTCTAGACCAGAAGTGGAAATCATTCTGAATGTGTCTTTTGAAAACGAATTTCCTTGAATTATTTACCGTATCCATAGCTGGTTTGGAATATCGTGTTTTCGTTAACCAACTGTTGAAGGAAATCCTTAACTCTTCTTGCAGGGAAAGTACTTCGAAATTCAGTTCAGCCCGGGCGGAGAACCAGATGGTGGAAAGATCTCCAACTTCCTTCTGGAGAAATCCAGGGTGGTGATGAGAAACCCCGGAGAGCGGAGTTTTCACATATTTTACCAGGTTTCTCTTGATCTGTTTCCTTGATGCTTCTTTCTCCACATTTAAAAAAAAACAAACGTTTTTTTCTCTCAGTTGTCAGATTTAGATAAGCTAGTCCCCAAACCCAAGAAATATTTATGACTCTAGTATGTGCAAGTCGGTGTGAAAAAGGCAGGACGGGGCCATCCCTCCCCCTCAAGGAACGTGAGTTCTATTTGGAAAGATGTGACCAAAATTTGCATAGCTTAATAGTCAAGAAACTATTAGCGTAAATTTAAAACAAAAGTAGGACTATTCGATTCTTTATGAGGGGAGATTTGGCAAGTATGCGAAGTAAGGATTTAGAGAGAGAGAATTCTTGATGGTTACGTGAGGGGACGTCAGGGGGCCTAAACAAAGTCCATGGAGTTGGAGAGAGGAACTCAGTCCACGAATCATGCCCCAGCCAGTTTGCAGAGGCAGAAGTGTCCCCAGGTGCACTGTTGGAGGAAAGACTGGAAATAGGATTGAGACCTTTCTTGCTAGACTGAAAAGTTCCAACTCAGACGCTCAAAAGCCGGGGAGAATTGGGGGCTATAGGACAGTAGGCAAATGAATGCTCTTCAGTGGTATGACCAGGTCTGTCGTTATTTGATTCAACTATTGAATTTTGTTATTAGTAAACATATATATAAGGATAATATATAAAAAATATAAAAATAAGGTTATTTTTATGTTTAGGTATACTTCTTACAGGCATCCTTGGGGGTGTTGCAGGTTTAGTCCCAGACCACCACAAAAAGTGAATAGCATAATTAAATAGCATAAACTAAAAGAATATATATATATGTGGAATTGTCCTGGGCAGAGCTGAGCTTTCGTAGTACACATTTTTCCCACTAGGCAAGCATCAAGCAACTCACTCTGAGTTAGTGCACCCAGTGGCTTAGCCTGGGAAGGTTCTCTTTGGTCACAGTAAAATATTTCAGGAAAGCAGTTTCACTCAAACCTCATTTTTTGGGATGGCTGAGTTCAGAGAACAGCATACAGCTGTGAGATTTTGTTTCCTGCTCGGGAAAAATGCTGCAGAAACTATTGTGATGCTGAACACAGCTTGCAAGGACAGCGCTGTGGGAAGAACTCAAGTGTACGAGTGGTTTTCTGAATTCAAAAATGGTGAAATATTGATTGATGAAAAACCCCATTCTAGACATGCGTCAACTTCCTGAACAGACAAAAATGTTGACAAAATTCCTGCACTTGTGCTCGAAGACTGACGATGGACCATTAAAGAGATGGGGAAGTTATCTGGACTGTCTTGGAGTGTGGTTCAGCAAATTTTAATGGAAGATTTGGGAATGAGAAGGGTGGCTGTGGAATTTGTCCCTCGGGTTCTGACTGCCCAGGAACAAGAACGTTATCAAGTGGAAACATGCTGGGCTGTGAAAGAGCAGCTCTGAACAACCCAGACCTTTTCCCCAAGGTCATTACTGGTGATGAGACATGGTGTACGCTTATGACACTGAAAGCAAACTTCAGTCAAGCCAGTGGAAGACGCTATCATCACCTCGCCCAGAAAAAGCTCGCCAAGTAAAACCAAAGACCAAGACGATGCTCATGCGCTTTTGACGTGAGGGGGATAGTGCATTTGGAGTTCGTTCCACCGGGTCAGATTGTTCATCATACTTTCTATTTAGAGGTTCTGAGGAGATTGCATAACAGTGTGCGACCCCAAAAAAAAGGCCTGATTTGTGGCAGATGAGACTGACTGGTTTTGCCATCCCGACAATGCACCTGCTCATGTAGCCATCTCAGTGTGCCAGTTTGAGGCAAAAAATATATGTCAACCTTGCCCCACGCACCTTACTCACCTGCTGTCACTCCATGTGACTTTTGTGTTTCCACAAGACTTCGTTTCTGCCAATGAAGAGGGACAGGACAGGAAAGCGATTTGAAGACTTAGAAGAGGTGAAGAAAAAAAAAACGGAGGTGCTGCCAGCCATCCATACAGATGAGTTTGAAAAATGTTTCCAAGAACTGAATCGCAGCTTTGACAGATGTATTAAGTGCGATGGAGAGTACTTTGAAGGTGATACGGTTGTTTTGCAAAAAAAATTTAAGTGCATAGCTTTGGGGAAAAATTTCAGGTTTCTTTTGGGTCCCCCCTCATATAGTTTCCCAGTGTGTATAGAAGCTGTGTTTACACTCTGCTGTATACAGTTGTGTAAGTGTGCAGTAGCACTATGGAAAATTTGAAATACGGCATCAGTAGACTTGCTCAACACAGGGTTATCAGAAAAGGTTCAATTAATGTATTTTTAAATGCAGTATCTGCAAAGAGCAATAAAGTTAAGCATAATAAAATGAAGTATGCCTGCAATTTCGTACTTGTATATGCTGAGAATCCACCTTAGATTTCTTTGCGGGAAAATGTGTTGTGACTGTCTTTTGTTTTCAATTTAAAAATATTGAATTTAAAGAAAGTTAAAATGTGGTGATATCTATTATTCAGTCTTTTCAACTCCACAGACATTTTAGACAATGAGAAAGAATTCTTTTACATGCTATCTGATAGATGAAAACTTATGCAAATGACCAAAAGCTCTTCTGAATTCAGCAATGCCATCTTATTCCAAAACAACCTGCTTTGGAAAATGGGAACGCGTTGTACCTATCACACAGAGTCCCTTCTTGATCTGAGCAGCAAACACAAGTACGCAAAGGCACCCTGAGAGCCTTTTCAATAAATGCAAGCCTGATGCCCTGCAGGAGTCCTGCCCACAGAAGAGCCCCTGGGGAAGTGATGAGCTCCCCAAGAAAACAGGGTTCAAGACTGACACAAAAGGCATCCGTGAAGCTGTGAAGTAGATGAGTGTCTCGTTGAAAGGGAGCATGGAGAGACAAATCATGCCAAATGAGAACCTAGGCAACTGGCTCATCTGCAGAGCGAAGAGAAAATGTAAAGCCCGTCAACAGGGAAGTAGTCCAAGAAAGAGAAGAAACTCGGGGCCACATTCTGCACAAAGCCACGGACAGCCTGGGATGCTGAGCGGCCGGGTCAAGTGCTCAGACTGTTGGGAGAAGGGATGGGTGGTGGCTTGGGGACCAAGGCCCAGCTGTGGGGTTTTTAGGCGCAGGATGGTCAGTGAAAAGAGAATGCAGCAGAGGGATGCGAAGAGAAGCCAGACGGCAGGGAGTTTAGCTGGGATGAAGTGGAGGGAGGAAGTGGATTCTATGGCTGGAAGAAGTTCGTGATGTCAGGGGAAAACCTTTAAAGAAGGCAAAGAGTAACTGATTATCTTATACAAGAGAGAGCAGAGGGACTATGGGTGAAGAAAGGGCTGAAAAAGAGGGAGGGAGGGTCTTCCTCGGATTTAAAAAAGAACCAGAAGGAATAGAATGAAGGGGCAGGGCAGTCCAGAAAGACTTGATTGTGACGTGAGTGGATGTTCACCGAACAATTTGGTTTCCTGTATGACAAGACTGAGGCGATCAGGAAGAAAAACTAAGGACGTCTCACTTCATGAGATGATTTCTCGGTGATGGGGGGTGTGGTCCCTATGTGGGGGGAGGGAGGACCAAGATGCCAGGAGGAAGCTGGCAAAGATGGGAAGGGTGGCTAGAAGTGCTCGTTGGGTTGGAGCTAGCAGGGTACTGGAGCTTGCTCCTGGGGCTGTGAGCCTCTCTTCCCACTTCTCCTTGTCGTGAAATCCCATTGGGAATTGGAGGAAAGTCTTGGCAGGACTGTTTGCACCACATAAATGGGCAAGGTTTATAAATCTTTATAAATTCCTCTAACAGCACATCTCCAAGTAGACCATTCTTGGTGCCCTTTCAGAGGGTGTTGTTCAGGTATAAGGTAGACATCAGAGCTGGAACAAAAGTCAAGGAAAACTCCATTGGTCGGTGGGTGTCAGAATACCAGAGACCAGGACATACAGCCATGGTTTACTATGTATCCCACAAGCAGAAGCCAGCTCCACTTTACAAAGCCATGAGAAAGTTAGATGGGACCTAGGTCATTATAATCTGGTTTGCTTCCTACTCTGTAAGACCTGGACAAGTGTAATAACATAGTTCCTTTTATTGGACAAAGGCAAATGTAAGAACCAGGGTTTCCAGGGGCCATTTGAGGCCACTCTAGGTAGATCATGTATTCTGAAACTATGCTTCATAAAATACAACCACCTTCCGTTTTAGAAATTTTAGAAGTTTATGGATTGAATGTCCTGTCCCCTAGAGTTGGGGCTGGTGGTGGCAGGGACTAGGAGGTGACTTTGAAAGTGTTTTGTGGTCACTTCCTGCCCACCCATGTTCTCTTGCTCCAGCTCATCGAGGGTGCCTCTGCAGAACAGAAGCAGAGCCTGGGCATCACCAGCATGGACTATTATTACTACTTGAGCCTCTCCGGCTCCTACAAGGTAGACGACATTGACGACAGGCGGGAGTTTCAGGAAACTCTGGTAAGTGCGGCTGCAGGGTCATGCATCCGTTGCTTGTGGTGGGAAGAGCAGTGCAGGTTAACAGAGCACAAAACGACTCCTCGTTCTGGCTGAATCTCTCTCTACAACCAAACATACATATTACACAAATAAGCAGACAAGTCCGTTCTGACTCATGGCAACCTCATGTTAAAAACCAAATCTGCTGGCATCAAGTCGATTAGAGCCGACCTTGGAGCCTCTGAAGCTGTGAATCTTTGGGGGAGCAGGCAGCCTCTTCTTTCTCTCATGGAAAGGCTGGTGGGTTTGAACTGCTGACCCGATGGTTAGCATTCCGAGGTATAAGCACTACGCCTGTGTTAAAGCTGCTCTTAAATAACCATATGCCCACTTGCCTGAGGAACTTCATGATTTGAGATCTGTACAAAATTGAGTCATCATGACGTCTCTATAGGACTTTGGGGACACAGGCAAAATCTAGTGTGGGTAGTGCATCATGGGTACCTAGTTGCTGATCAGCCAGCATTCATTCTTGAGCTATTTGTTTCCTTAGAAGGCAAAACGGAAGAAGCCCACCAGCCTGTGTGATCATGAGCAGTCGATGGGTTCAGGTATCAGGCATCAAAGACCACCCCCCCAAAAAATCATATCATTGTGAATGAGGGGGCGTGCAGAGTGGAGACCCAATGCCCATCTGTAGACCCTTACAGAAGGGTCACAAGGAAGAGATGAGCCGGTCAGGCTGCAGTATAGCACTGAGGAAACATACAACTTTCCTCTAGGTCTTTAATGCTTCCCCTCCCCCCAATTATCATGATCCCGATTTTACTTTACAAATCTGGTTAGACCAGAGCATGTACACGGGTACAGATAAGAGCTGGAAACACAGGGAATCCAGGAGAGATAAACCCCTCAGGACCAATAATGAGAGTAGCGATACCAGGAGGAGAAGGGAAGATGGGAGGAGAAAGGGGGAACCAATCTCAATGGTCTACCTATAACCCCCTGCCAGAGGGATGGACAACAGAAAAGTGGGTAAAAAGAAACATCAGTCAGTGTAAGATGTGAAAAAATAATAATTTATAAAGTGTGAAGGGTTCATGAGGGAGGGAGGGAAAATGAGCTGATGCCAAGGGCTCAAGTAGAAAGACAATGTTTTGAAAATGATGATGGCAACATAGGTACAAATGTGCTTGACACAGTGGATGGATAGATGGATTGTGATGAGTTTTTTGAGGCCCCCCCCCCCCATAAAATGATTTAAAAAAAGAATTCTAGAACTCCTTTAGCCCGTTTTTCACCCTCTTCATTCCTTTTCCGTGTTTGAGGCCTTTCGCCTCGCCTCTGTGCTGCGCAGGCCAGGCCCTTCCCATGGTCCCCTTGGATATCATGAGATGGGTTGAATGAGTGTCAAAAGATTACGGAGGGGCCACAACCAGAGGAAACACCTTGATGAGTTAGTCTAGGGCGGCGTTTCTCAACGTTCCCCAGTGCGGCAACCCTTTCATACAGTTCCTCATGTGGTGGTGACCCCCAACCCTAACATTATTTTCATTGCTACTTCATCACTGTCATTTTGCTACTGTGATGAATCGGGCAGCCCCTGGGAAAGGGTTGTTCGACCCCCAGGCTGAGAACCGCTGGCCTAGCGTTGTCTGCAGATAAAGCAGTCATCCATGTGGCCTGAAAGCAGTTGTCACCACATTCATCCAGGCCCGTTCTCTTCTCCCAGTCCACTGCCTACAGGGCACCCTGAATGGGCAGTGGAGGCTCAATGTGAGGGAGACTGGTATTTGTGCTTAAAGGGACAATGTCCAGGCCGACTCTGACCTGGGTGCCAGGAAATAAGATAGCATCAGAGGCCTCAAAGGGACTAGGGAGGGAGAGTTAGACAGGAGACTTCACACTGGTCTCTTAGAAACAAAGTATCTCTGCTTGGTTATCCCATTTCGGAGAGATTTGTCCTCAGAATCCTTCTTCCTCCCACTGGCTAATTGAAAATATAAGTTGTGAGTTTACATCACAGACCATCCACTTTGTATTCCACAGTTTATACTCCTAACTCTCCCCCCCCCCCCCATAGGCTTACCCTTCACCCACTCCTTGATTGCTCTTCTCCCTCGGTGGGTTACTGTCACCCATCACACCCAAGTGAGCCCCTGCCCACGGTCTAGCCTATTACTCTCTCTCCTCCCCTTTGCCCTCCCATCCTTGGCAGTCCCCAAAGTCTGCCCTTTGGTGTGACTTCCACTTTGTTTGAATCCAAGCTATTCTGCACCTCCCCTCTCAAGGGCAAGGTCTCTACGTCGACTAAGAGTGGCAGGAAAAGGGTTGACCACAGAATGTACAAAGGGATGAGCAGAGATGTAGAGACCCTGGTGAACAGCTGCCGCTCCACCTGAATAGCCTTCCAGAGCTGTCTGGCCTTTACTCCCGAGAAGATGTGCTCTGTTTAAAACAGATTACCTTGCCAGCGAGACTTTGAAACGCTAGGGAAATGTCCAAGCGGGCCTTGGTCAACGATAATAGCTGGTAGGGGCTTCCAGTTGCCATCACAAGCTAACCCACATCGAAGTACCCAGCCTAACCTATGCCCCAGGCTCTATGCGATGGGCTCATAAAGCTGGAGGCCACCGCGGGGAATAATGCCGGGTCCCTTCCTTTCCAGCACGCCATGAATGTGATTGGGATCTTCGCGGAGGAGCAGACGCTGGTGCTGCAGATCGTGGCTGGAGTGCTTCACCTGGGAAACATCAGCTTCAAGGAGGTTGGCAATTATGCTGCGGTGGAGAGTGAAGAGTGTGAGTAGCTTGGGCAGGCACAGGGCGGTAGCCTGAGGGAAAGTGGTTGGTTCACTCCAGTCGCGGGTCACCCATCCCTTGCCCTTGCATTTGGAGAAGAGACGTCAGGAGATGTCACACAGGCCCCTTTCCTCGCCACCGTCTCTCCCACATCCCTCCCCCATCTCATCCCACAACCCAACTCACTGCCATTGAGAAGATGCTGGTTCAAAGCGACCCTATAGGGCCAGGTATAACTGTCCCTGGTAGTTCCAAGACATAGCTCTTTATAGGAGGAGAAAACCTGTGTTAGTTTAGGTACTTTATAGAGACAAATCCACAGAAACTCATGTATAAGAGTTTTATATAAAGGTTAAGTGCACATCAAGCAAACATCCCAAGCTCACAAGTCCAACATTAACCCATATGTCCGACACCAATCCACAAAGTCCTCCTCCATCTCACAAAACACACACTATGATGCCGACTGCCGGAGGAAAGCCGTATCAGTGAATGTGTAAGCAACTCAGCGCTGGCAGGGGTCTCCACACAGCTGCTCCAGCACCCAGGGCTGCACCGGGGTAGGTTCATGTGGCTTCTCCTCGGAGATGTCTTGCAGGAAGTCAGCCTTGCCAGCTAAAGCAGGGAACTGGCTAAGGCAGCTGCACCCTGATCCAACCATCAGAAAGCAAGAGGCCCGAGAACTAGAAAGGCGAGAGTCACTGAGCCATTTATCTCTCCACCCTTCAATTAACCCCACATGCGTTTATCGATCAGGTTGGCACAATAAACTTTCTCCCAGGAGCAAGCTGGTGGTTTTGAACTGCTGACCTTACAGTTAGCAGCCCACTGCATAGGCAGGGCTCCTTCAATCCCACAACCAGACAGAATCAATAAAATTATTTCAATGTGCCATGAGGCTTAGGAGAATCTGGCAAACTTTCACCCCTGGGTTTAAAGATCAAATGGAATCTTTAGCAAAAACGAGTGAAGTAGTGGGTTATGCATTCCGGTACTAACTTTGAGGTCTGCAGTTCAAAGCCACCACCTGCTCTGAGGGAGAACAATGAGGCTTTCTGCTCCCATAAAGATTTACAGCCATGGAAACCCACAGGGACAGTTCTAGTCTGTCCTGTAGTGTCACTATGAGTCAGGATGGACTCAACAACAGTGAGTTTTGTTTAGAGTTTGAGAGTCATAGCTTAAAAATGCAAAAGATACGTAGTCTCCTAATAATAGTCTTTTCCATAACTGGTCTTAAGGGTCTAAACTGGTCTAAAATTCCCAAACTTATTTGGCCTACTACTCCCTTTTCAGAAAAAGGGGGAAAACAATTACTCAGGGGCCCCCCGGGCAATGAAAAACTTTGGTACTCCAGTCAATAATCTAGGATAAAGTTCAGGTATCTGCTTGTGCAGCTCCCCCTGGATAATTACAGCACCTTGCCCTGCCACCAGGGGATGGTGTAGCTCACTTTGGGGAGCACTACTCTTCACCAAACACCACCTCCTTGGCTGTTGAGTGGATTCCGGCAGGCATGACCCATGTATCACAGAGCAGAACTGAGCATCAGGAAGTCATCTTGGTTTTAATCGTTTACGGAAGCAGATTGCTAGGCTTTTCTTCCAACCAAAGCCCAAGTTCAACTGCCATCAAGTCAGTGATGAACCACCCCTGTCAGTTTCTGAGACAGTATCTCTTTACGGGAGTAGAAAGCCTCATCTTTCTCCTCACCTTACAGTTAGCACCACAACACATAACCACTTCACCACCAGGGCACCTCTCAATGTTTTAAAAGGGGAAAAAAAGGTGGGGTGGGCTGGGGTTGGGTGATCGGCTATTGCTTGGCCACTGCCATTCATCGCCTTGAATGAAGAGTGCTTGGGACCCATCTGTAGTGTAGTCTGACCCTCTTAACCCGAATAGCCATTTCTCACTCTCCAAGAAGAAACTGGATTCGTTCCCACCGGGAGATGTTACTGGTGAGATGTGCCAGGAACCATCGACCACAAGACACAAAGATCTGTGTCATGTGACAGCCTCTCAGGCACCAGCTGACTGCAGGCTGCTCTCAGCTCACCAAGCCACTCACCACCCAGGACAAAAGCCCTTCCTTTCTCAGCATTCTTCAGAGATGATAAATTTAGATGTTTAGCAATAAATAGTATCCCACTCATTGCTGACCGTGCAGTGGGGAATATTTCCATTCCAAATAAGGCCTTTTGTTTTTTTAATGTTCAGTTTGCTTTTCGGATAAAAGAGGGAAGTTCGGCTAGCCTCTGATGTCCGCCTGATAAAGACGGACTATGCTTAACAGGGAAGTGGGTGAGGTGGGAAGCAAGAAGTTTGCAGCTTGTCCATAAAGCCTAGAAACGACCTCCTGATCTTCACTGTGGTCTAGGCATGTGTGTGCACTGTCGTTTACAGCTCATGAATACCCAAGGGTGTCCACTTGGTCATTAACACTTGCTCTTTTAAAACAGAGGGTTTGGGCTTAGTAGTGTTTTCCAAAGAACCGGACTCGATTTTTCTCACCCTCTTGGAATATTAAAATCCTTTCCTGCCTCTTTATGTTGGAGGATAAAGTCCTGCGTGCAATGGCAGGCTCTGGCCCTCTGTGCTTGCGCTGAGAAGCGCTGTTTTACAGTGGGATTTGGAGGAAGCAGCCTCCTCAGTGGGATTAGCAATGGATCATAATACTTCCTGGCAGGACCCAGAGGCAGGGTGGAGATCAGAGAAGACTGCATTGGGAGCCAAAGCGGTTCAACACAGAAATGTGTCCCCTTCCCAGAAACGTCTTTCTATTGATTTTGGCTTTTGTTCAGGTGGTCAATTAATATGCTGCTTAATTGACATGATTCTAAATAGTTCTTCTTTTTACTCTTTTGTCAGTCAATTGGTTCCCTTCCCTGTAGGCCACTCAGGTCTCAGTCTCGTGCTTGCTTTCAGGGGCAAGTGCTCTAAAGCGACTGCACTTGGCCGTTCTTTTCCCACTGGTGCACGGTAGTAAAAGCACATCACACAGGGCCCCACAGCTTTACTTTTCACTTAACAATATATGTTGGGGACTATTCTGTATCACATGGTAAGGAGCTGCGTCCTTTTATACCTGCAGAATATCCCATTTCTGGGCCATACTTTGATTCCTTAAACCAGCCATCTGTTGATGGGCCTTGTTAAGTGCCCTCAAATCCAGTCTGCCTTGATAGCAACCGGAGGCACAACAGAACAAAGCCTCTCTGGCACCACGCACACAATTGTTATGTTAGCCCATGGCACAGCCACGTTGCCAGTCCGTCTTGTTGCGAACTTCCTGCTTCTCACTGCCCTCTCCCTTTACCGAGCGTGGTGAGCATTAAGATGCAAATAATGCCGCTTTTCCAAGTCAAACTGGAATTAAGTACCGTGGCCTGTGCCATCTTTCCCATATTTGAGGATATTTGTGGAAGAATATCCTAGAAGGAAGTGTTGGCCCATGCTTTTATAATGGAAGAAAACAGACTTTGTTCTAGCTATCACATTATAGGGGGGGAATGATAAGCTTCTCAAATGGCTGGCCCACTGAAGCACAATCGCTATTAACAGCAACACCTGTCTTTGGACTGATGAGACCGTGGGATGTATTTAGTCAAATTCTCATGTTTCTGTTGTTTTGGTTTTTTTTAATCATTTTATTTCATATCTATTTATAGTCACTTTTTAAACTCGTGTCCTATAGGTAACAAGGCATTTGCCAATTTCTACATTAGCAATATTTAATATTAAAGTACTATTTAATGAAAATAATATTAAATGTTGATTTAATATTAATAATGTCAATTAAGTGACATTGATTATGTTCATGCTGTTGAAACATCACTGCTAATGGGTCCCCAAAATTCCCTAGTGGAAGTTCGGTGTCCCCTGAAGATCTTTTCCAAATCTTCA